TCAAAAAAAAAAAAGTTGCTATTTCCTCTACCCTGCTGCAGCATATGGAACAGCTTGGATCTCAGGATTATTCCATGGGACACCGCTGAAAACAGGTTCTTCGGCTTTTCTGAGAACACAAAGGTATTTATGCTAAGCACCTACACATCCCCGAAGCCAGTCGGTCTAAGGCAGCCTCCACGCCACATGAAACGCATTGGCATGTGATTATTTATACGGCTCCACATACATGCACCCTCCCACATACAGGAAAGAGGCAGAGCCATGGAGGACACCGAAGCCAGAACGCTGATTTCCTCTCTTTGGCTGACATCATTGGTTTACTATTTGCTGTTGGAAACCTCCTTGCTTGGAAGCGTTTCCCAGATCTCTTGCATCTCTCCTCTGCAAGCTTTGGGAAGACAGGCTATTCTCAGGTGATCCACAAAATAAAATGTTCCGTAATTGATTCTGCTGAGAGCTTATACAGCTGCATGCATTATAAATTATTATTATTTCTGCCTTGAAAAGCATTATTACATAGTCTGAGGCTAGACTTCGTCTTTTCCACAGCTAGAACTGTTCCCAGCTAGAGCTGCTTCAAACATATAGCTGTTCCACAGACAAATCTCATTTTTTAAGTGGGTCAAAGGTCAGGAATACTTTGGGTTCCCCTTCTCCCCCCATGGGCCTCTAACTTCGAACCCTCTCTAGAATTTTTTTTTAACTGCCAAGTCTAAAGAATCCATGGCCAGAGACATCCAGATGTTTGTTATGAAAGATCCAGAATGCAATAACAATGCAGAAAAATTTCCTATTTGCTTAGAGTAGAATCAGATGATCTCTGTGCTCAATTTACCAGAAATCAATTATTTAGTTCAATCTGTTCCTGTTTAGAAGAATAATATCTTGGAAAGAAAAATCAGGCTGTCAGTTCTAGAAAACCTGTGCAAAGGATCACCTCTCTCCTTGATTGGGCCAAACTGTATGAAACAATAGTTTAGTTATATCATATGGAGCCAATGCTTGGATTAATCACTGGGACAGAAGCGTGATCAGCAATAGGATTGTCTTCATAGTGCCAGAAGCTCCCAAGGACCCAGACTCACCCCGTTCAAAAAAACCCCAAAACTTAAGGATGCCTGGAGACAGAAAATATTCTCCAGAAGAAGAGCTGAAGCTGACTTATTTCCATCTCTGTCCAGGGCGAAAGTAGCAATCAGCTCTGCCAGAATTATGTTTTCAGGCAAGAACACGTGCTGTCTTCAAAGGACAACAGCATTTGGGCAACACCAAAGGCATTCCAGAGCCACAGCCACTGGAATAAGGTTTGCTCATGCCACAATCAAAAAACTATTAGGTTTGCAAGCTTTTGGCTTGGCTCTATTCATTTACATATACTTCATCTGTTTTCCTCTGAAATTTGGCATCTTTTGCTTGAACCCAAAAGCCCATTCTATGGTACTAAGTGTCAGTGAGCCTTGAACTCCATGACCGGCCAGGTACAAGCCCATGCAGCAAGCCCCTGGTCCAGAACAACTCCAAGCAGAGGTCTACAAGCTACGTACATCTGTTAGAAATAAACTGGGTTTTCAAACTGCAAATATGAGGTCTTTAAAATTTTTTTGTGTGTGCTTTTACAATTAAAAAAAAATAAATCACTTAGATGAAAAGCATTAAATTTGCAGGCCACTTGCTTGTGACTTCGTATCTCCAGGTCTCCCCTGCTACTACAACATGGTTTTTCCAGGGAATGTAAGGATTAAATAGGAAAGACATAGGCACGTGAATCGTTGCTACTGGACATTCAAATGAGCACTTTTCAGGATTTGCCTTTATTCTGAAGAAGTTCTGCACTGCATATTATTTTTAAGTATGCAACCAACCATCAACACAGCAGGACATAATTTTTAAAGACTCCAAAGGAGCCAAGCTTGTCAATAATCTGGGAATCAAACGACTTTATACAGAATACACAGGAGATCAACCTGAGGGTGGGTGGTGGTGTAAAGCGTTATACAGAAGAAAAATTAACACTCAAAAAGGAAAGTTAAACTAACATAAGGGTTTGCAGGGAACTGTAGGAGTTAATGCTCTCTCCCTCCATTAAGCACATCAAGAGTGTTCTTCTCCTAATGAGTTAACCTCTTATTATTCAAGTTTAATGGGGACATATATTTGTTTAACCCTATAGCCTCAGGAGTCAGAATTTCCTGGTGTTAATTATACAGCATATAGGCAGACTCTTTGCTAGCAATGTAAAATTGCAATCCCTGCCAAACCTTGAAACTAGGAATCTCCAGCAAACCAGAGGACAACAAACTTAGCATGCATCTTACTTCCTATAGCTAATTCAGACTCGTGCAAATTGATGATGATGCCAGGAGAGCACTTCACAAAGAGCAGGGCAACACTGCCTTTCCTTTGTCAGGAAAGGGAAGTGATCCAGACAGATCACACACCAGTGTAGAAATTCCACCTGGGACTTCTTATGTTAACCCAAATGCATTAGGAAGTGACTGTGCATGCACAGAAGACCCTCCTCTGCTAAAGCAACCCCACCTGGGTTTGTTGTTGGTGTGGTGTTGCTGTGTGTTTGTTTATTTTCTTTCAAGAGACTTGTTTGCTACCAAGCCTATCAAGAGGATCAGGACCCAAACAAGATCTCCAGCATCACCCCAGAGTGCTGCTTTAGCAGGAAGCCAGCCCAGGGGATCAGGAACCATTAGCTGTGTCACAGAAAGAGACAGGGGCACTTGTGGCCTGTATCAGCTCTGACTCAAGATCAAGCTCCTCTCTACACATTCCAGCTACTTCACCTAACAGTACTCAACAGGAACAAAAGATGCAAGCGCTTATGGATGAAGACTGTTACCCACCCCTCCTCCAATAACATGCTGGAGGAGCTAGGACATATCCCTTCTCTCCTCCCATTCTTCAGGTCTTCTACTCCTAGGCAGTGGAGACCACCAACCCTTCACATGGGTTGTTAGCTTTGGCAAAGCTGACAAGCAAAGCGCAGAGTCTCACACCCACCCTTTGCCACCCATGCAATCAAACCCCATCTGACCCTCCCCCCGCCCTATGTGGGCCTGAAGACACAGTTCTTGTGCTTCCGAGGACCTGCAAAACAGGAGAAGGCCCAGCAGAGCAGGGTGCTGCAAGCCTGTGTTTCCAAGATGCTTGGTCAGGAAGCAGGATGTGCTGTCCTACTGCCCTTGTACAGCCCACTCACCAGGGCATGGATATACCATCCCAACCGACACGTGAAAGGGGGTGCACGTGGGACATGCAAACACACACATTAGACAGCACTAGTTGCAGAAGGGAAGGAAACACATTTAGCCCCTTGGAAATCTCCTCCCTGAGTTCTTCCAGATAGAAGCAGACACCTTAGTAAACTCAAATATCTTCAGAGCCAAGGTAACCCTCATTGTTCATTTGTCTGTTTGATGATCATGCAGGCCCAGAAGAGCATAAATCCCATGACAGTAACATGACAGATGTACGATTATGCAGAGAGACAGATACACAGCAAACTTAATGGTTCCCTCAAAACTGATCTCCTAAAACCAGCCCCTTAGGCCACTTATTGTTATCCCAACAGAGAAACATGAAGTCACAATTTGAGGGTGGGGGCAGACACACAATAAATATCCTTTTTTTGTTTGTTTGTTTCATGATGCAAGTCACAGTTTGTTTAAACAAACTACAAGAGTTGTCTTCGGTAGTGTCACTGATTCAGCATCTCCCCACCACCTTAATTCTCTTCTAGATCTGGGCACTCAAAAGGAAGGAGGCTATTTGCAGCAATGCAGTGGTTGACAGGAGGCTGAATTTCCACTTCATAATATGGTATCCTGAAGTGACAGCAAAGGAGAATGAGTTGCTATTAAAATGGGAGATCAGGTCCAATTGCTTCCAGTACACAATACCACATGAACTCTGACCTCCTCTGGATCAGGAAAGAAGCTGTACTTAACTCCCTGGAAGCCAAACTACACCCTGAAGCTGTGCCCTCCTTTGCCATTTTAGGTTGCAGACAGGACCACCCAGGAAAGCCAGCCAGAATACATTTAGCACATAAACTTTTGTTTTCCTTCCACAGATGGAAGGTACACACACAAACCCCTTTTAATCAAATTATGGAAGTGTTCCTGGGCCTGGAAAAGTGAGATTCCTCCAGAGCCCCACCAGCATCAACAGAGCAGAGCTGCAGGTCCAGTGGCCACCTCCTTGGGACAGTGACAAGAAGCCACTGTACTTCCACTCATTTATGGGTCACCTGAGCCTACCATCAGCCTGCTATTTCCATCCTGCTTATCGCAATGAACAGGTATATCAATAATTAACAGCAAGTAAGAAGATTATTTGCACTTCTGTAGGACTCTTCCTCCAAGGAGCTCGTTAACAGCACAACAGCCTCAAGAACCTTTGTTATCCCATTTCACAGATAGGGTACGCCGCCACCACCACCATATCCAGCAGTGGAGTCCCTCCTCCAAGTGTCTGGAACAACCCACCACCACCATGTCCAGCAGTAGAGTCCCTCCTCCAAGTGTCTAGAACAACCCACCACCAAGGAGAGGCTGATGATGAATGTCCATGCTCTACACACTAGGCTGAGCTTCATTTAGCAGGGAAAAAATGCCAACAGCACAGGCTGTGCTCCCACACCTTAAGAACAGTGATTTCCTTCAAAGCCCTCCTCTTGCAAGAGAAGTAGGCTCCGTTTTGTTGTGCAACACCCTGAAAAGATTTTGAGGCTGGTGGGCAGAGTTGAACACCAAGGGGAAGCCGTTATTTCTAAATAACCATACAGCCATGCATGGCTTGTGAACCATGGTTAATTTAATACCCACACACGCTCATTACAGCTATTCACGCACCCACTGCAATCAGCTTGTTTACACACTTATCAATGACAACTTTCAGATTATTACTTTAATTAAGAAAACCCCTTCATTCGTTGGGATTATATTACCAAAACACCTTCTCTTCCACCGGGGGAAAACTAGCACTTACAGGAAGACGATGAGGTAGTCCGTACAGCTGGCAGCTGCACTATGGAGGTCATGCTTTGAGGAGAAAGACACACAGGGAGCCAACATCAGATGCCTCCACCACGAGCAGCAGAAGACAGGACTGCAATGAACGGGGGCAGGCCGGTTCTCAGCGGTTATATGACCTGCAGTCAGCGCCCAGCAAGTTTCACAGCAGGTCCTGTGGGACTCGCTCACTTCTGAAGGAATATCCCACCAGGAGAGGGCATCTTTCCAGCAGGCACTGGTGCTCCTGGTGTCTCCTGGCTTCGGTATGACACAAATGCTAGAACCCAGCTGCTGTCCCTGTCCTCAAGCAGGACACCGGTGAGGAGCAGGAGCTGCCCTCAAGCATGGCCGCCCATTTCCCACCTTAGCACCAGAGGGCGAAGGCCCCACACCGCCAGGAGTGGCACAGGAGCCACGTGGCACAACGCCATTGGTCAGAGGGGCACCACTGCCAATTCAGGATTGGCTGGGCAGGAGAGATGCCAGCTTGGGATTGGCCAGCCACACCCAAGCACTTCCATGGGGCCCAGAGCCTCAGGGGCCCGCCATGCTGGGGCCTCACTGGCTCTGCCCACAGCAGGTCTCCTGTATCCCCACCACATAGGGGACCTGTCCCAAACAAGGGACCACAGGCGTTGGGGAGCAGCAGCGACCCCCTGGCCCCATCACCAGGCTCCTCACAGCAGGAACACGCTCCCACCCCCACCGAGCTACAGAAGCGCCTCATTCCACCAGCCCCACAGAAGTCTGTGCCGGGGTACCAGATCTTCAAACCCTGCTACAGACGCTCCCCAGAGGCCTCGGCTCAGGAGAGCGCCGTGCAGTAACGCCAACAGCATGAGGGGCTGCGAGGAACCCCACCGGGAGCCATCGGTGCCCAGCGCCAACGAGTGCTGCTCACTCGGGCCCCAGGCAAGCACCTCAGCACTGGCCCTCTGGTGACGAGGGCCACAAAGATGGTCCAAGGGCCAGAGCCCCTCTGCTGTGAGGACAGGCTGAGAGAGTCAGGGTTGTTCAGCCTGGAGAAGAGAAGGCTCCAGGGAGCCCTTGGAGCCACTT